TTGTTTTAAATTAAAAATTTTAAAAAAAATTTAATAAAAAAAAAAAAAGAAACTATAGACGGTCGGTTGCTTTTGTCTGGGCCTATCAAGACGGTCATGCAACCTTTGCGTTTGACCATCAGGGAGCACGAGGAGGCCATCCAATTCTACGTGGATTCGGGCCTGCATTTCCCCTTGGTCTTGCGTTTGGCCTGGCTGAGGATGCACGATCCTCAGATCTATTGGTCGCAAAATTTGATCACATTTCCGTCCTTGCAATGTGTCGACCACATTCGGCAGGTTTTTTGTGGCCCAGTTACCCAGCCCGCCCAAGGTGGACATGCCCCTGGATTTAGTGGAATTTGCGGATGTATTCAGTGAACAGGAGGTGGATCAACTGCCACCGCATCGGCCTTACGACTGTCCCATTGACCTGGTACCTGATGCAAAGCTCCCTACGGGTCATTTATACTCCATGTCTGAGCCGGAGTTGGCCGTGTTGTGGGACTTCCTTGATAAAAACCTTGTCCGAGGGTTTATCCGGCCTTCGTCCTCGTCCTTGTTGGCCCCGGGTTTGTTCATGAAAAAGAAGACCGGGGATCTGAGACTCTGGAATTACCGGCGCCTGAATGCCATCACGGTATGGAACCGGTACCCGTTGCCTTTAATTTCAGAGTTAGTGGAGCGTCTACGGGAGGCAACAGTCTTCACGAAGTTTGATTTGCGGGGCGCTTACAACCTGGAGTGCATCAGGGTGTGTGAAGAATGGAAGACGGCCTTTGGCACCCGGTACGGACATTTCGAGTACACGGTCATGCCGTTTGGGTTGACCAATGCACCGGCGGTCTTCCAACATTTTATGAACGATGTCTTCTGGGACCTGTTGGATCAGTTTGTCGTCATTTATCTGGACGACACCTTGATCTACTCGAAGTCCCGGAAGGATCATCAACGTCATTTGTGTTTGGTCTTGCAGCGACTCCGAGAGCACCGTCTGTTCGCAAAGCTGGAGAAGTGTCAGTTTTGGCAGACTACCATCGAGTTCCTGGGGCACCGTATTTCCCCTGAAGGCATCGCGATGGAGCCGGGCAAGGTGGAGGCGATGCGTAGTTGACAACCTCCTCGACGCATGAAGGATGTGCAGAGACTACTAGGGTTTGCCAACTACTACCGGACCTTCATTCCCAGCTTTGCTCTCTTGACTGCGCCCCTCACTCGGCTCCTGCAAAGAAAGTGCCGTTTCGCTGGGGTCCCACAGAGCAGTGAGCATTCGTGGCCCCGAAGCAGGCGTTTATGAAGGAGCCGATCTTGAAGCACCCTGATCCCCATCATCTATTTGTCGTGGAGGCGGATGCATCTGACGTCGCAGTGGGTGTGGTGTTACTGCAGGCTCATGCCCCTGATGGAACCCTTTTCCCTTGCGCTTACTACTCACAGAAACTCAATTCTTCCGAGTGCAATTACACCATATGGGAGAAGGAGTTGTTGGCTATCAAGGTGGCATTCGAGGCCTGGAGGCATCACCTGGAGGGGGCCAGGCACCATATAGAGGTCCGGATGGATCATCGGAATTTGGAGTTTCTGACCACGGCACGTAAGCTAAACCAACGCCAGATCCGGTGGTCTTTGTTCTTTGCCCGGTTCAATTTTAAGGTGACGTACATCCCTAGTGGATTGAATCGAAGGG